TATAGGGGAGAAAATCCAGAATACTGCGGCACACAATCTAAACGAGCGCGAACCTAGGCTCGTCAATAGTCCGGTGTATAGCATCATGGTAGGAAAAGCCATCACTGGCCGAAATTGGAGGTCACAAGGTCAAAGGTCAGTGGGCACAGGGCAGATTTAGACATTTTCTGAGGACATGGTCTGACGGAGCGATTGAAAAACTTTTTTGTTTCAGCCGGTGACCTAGCATTTTTATGGCTTTATTGAAAGGACATGAAATGTCCCTTCTGCTGACATGCGAAGAGTAAGTGTCGGATACACTTTTGACCCTCAAGAGGAGGGTTAAACATGATTTGTTCACTGTCAAACAAAGGAGCTGAACTGCTTTTTGCTAGTAGAATCCCCTTCCCCCGCCCCCCACCTCCCTCCTACCCTCCAGCGGCATAGTAGGGCGTGTCACCTAACATGATGTCGTACGCAACTGCGTCGAAAGAGTGTCTGCTATCTGCGCACCTAAACAAATGTCGGGACTACGCACGACTGCAAATTTTACCTTTATAATCTTAGCAACACGACCTCAAGACCCAGAACGCTCTGCGGCTCTTGTATTGGCTTAATGAAAGGACCCATGAAATGTCCCTTCTGTCTGCACAATGCGAAGAGTAGAGTGCTCCGGATAACCTTTTTACCCTCAATGAGAGCGGTAAACCATGGGCAATTTGTTGACGGTACACAAGACTGAGGAGCTTGAACTGCTTTTGCTATTAGAGCCCCCTTCCCCGCCACCCTCCCCCTTCCCCCTCCCCCACCCACTCCCACCGCCACTTCCTACCCCCACCCTCCCCCTACCCTCCATCTGCGACTTGGGCATGTCCTAACAATGTGTACGCAACTGCGTGTCTGCATATCTGCGCCTAACAAATGTGGTACTACGCACGACTGAAATTTTACGTTTATAATCGTAGCAACACACCTCAGATGAGCCCAGACGCTCTGCGGCTCTTGTTATTCACTCCTAATATTGTGATACTTGATTGATGTAGACACTAGTATCCCTGCAGAGTATCACAGTACTCTGAAAGTTAATTTATTATTAAATTAAATAAATTACCTAGACAGGTACAAATGCTAACTCTATTATAAAACTAAATTAAACTAAATTTAATAAAATAAAATAAAATAAAACTAAATTATAAACTCTAACACCGTATATAATCTGGGACAGGAATAATGATGGGTAACGTATCACTAACACGGATTGGAACAGTCGGTGACGTGTGTTTCGTCGTAGCGCGTCTGTAACTCTGGGAAGCACTGATAGTTTCGCATCCCCACTGCAGGTTACCAGGCGGCCAACATCACGTTCATGCCACACGACATCAGCGCCATCCCAACAACTCCGATCTCCGTGAGAAAGGTGAGACCGAGAGGCTCACCACCAGAGGGCACCACCACGGATATGCTTTGCCTGCCTTTTTTGCCAGATAAGCTGCAGCCTCCGCCGGCAGCGTGGAACGTCGAGCCACCAGTAAGTCTGCATGCAGGGGCGGATCCAGGATTTTTTAAGGGGGGGTGTCCAGGAAGAAATAAAGGGCACTTTTTCCTGCTTAATTTTTCTGGTGTTTTAAAAAGCCGCCAAATGCCACTTGGGGGGGTTTGGGGGACCTCTCCCTAGAAATTTAAAAAAAATTGGTCTAGAATGCAAAAATTTATCAGATCCGGTCCCCTGCGTACCCCTCTTTGCCCATTTCTAGGTTTTTATAACAAATTTATATATATAAGTAAATCTTTATCAGAAAAACTAGCCTTGAAAAAATTGGGATGAAATTGTTTAGGGCACTTTGAATGCATCTGCTAGTGTTTATCGGCTAGTCTACCTGGGAAGCAGTGGATGCGTGCTCGTACGCACGTTGTTCCACGAAAAGCTTGCGAATTATAAATGAGTAGCTTAATAAATTCCACCGCCAGATTTATTCTCATTTGCAGCATTGTATGGACTACGCGGTTTGCAGTGTTAAAATGGCATGTTCTTGCAGCAAAATGCATAGATATACTTACTGTGAGCTCGTCTATGTTGCAAAATTCACTACACCTCATTTGTATTGCTACTTTCATAACATTTCTTTACAAAACCTATTAAACGAGAATACTTGTCTTATGAAAGTAGCGCCACAATGATGTTTACACATCCGGGACACAGCCGAGCGATCGTTAACAGTTCTTTTCTATGATAAAACAAGTTATAATTCATTATTATATGTTTGTTCAGTACAAAATTGTAAAATTTATTTAAATCACATGTTATCCACATTACTTATGCAATCAGCAAACAAATACGGTATATAATGTTTTCTTTCCAGGAACTATTTGCGCTAGCGTACCCTCTTTGCTCAACATAATTTATGTGTATCTATACGCCGAAACTCTGTCGGACGTTGTTTCAAAATCCTCTAGTTCGGAGCACATTTCTGGCTCAATAAGAACATTTCGTGATATTTGCATACTGCAAGTATGCTCACAGTAGGTGTATGTAGGCTTTTTGTTGCGAGGTTTATCCACTTTAAAGGACGTGATTCACTGTGTAGCTGATACTGATGCCTGCTTAGCTAAATCAATTTTGCCTTCACTTCTGTGCACTTCAGCATGGCAGCGCGAAAGTTAATCTGAAGCTGACAGAGGCAGGCGGCGCGAGAGGGAGACAGCGGACGAGGAATGCCCCTGGCGACGCGGAGGCTGCGGTCGTCACGGCGATCAAGGTCGAGGCGCCCGACGAGATGTCGGACGAGTCTGCGGCGGATGTTGTCATGGCGGAGAGAGAGGCGATGAGCTGGGTGAGAGGCTGGCACTGGACAGCGGGGTCACGCACGATGCGACACGGGTCAGGCGGGGTCACACACAATGCGACACGGGTCACACACGATGCGACACGGGTCAGGCGGGGTCACACACGATGCGACACGGGTCATGCGGGGTCATGCACGATTCGACACGGGTCACGTGGGGTCACGCACGATGCAACACGGGTCATGGGGGTCACGCACGATGCGACACGGGTCACGTGGGGTCACGCACGATGCGACACGGGTCACGCAGGGGCACGCACGATGCGACACGGGTCACGCAGGGGCACGCA